AATATAATATATATATTTTGTTTCTTCTAATATTGCACATCAAAATGCTTCCGGTACACAGAGCAGCCAGATTCAACTTGCAGCTCCGCCTGGGAGACCTGATGCAGCACGTGGCCATCCAGAAGGCAACAAGCTCTGAGAAGGAAGCTCTATCTTTTAATTAATTTTCAATGGAAAGAACATTTGGTAACTCAGGAACCAGGTAACACAAAATTGGGGGGGAGGGGGAGCAGGGGGAAACCACACGCTGCAAGTTGCTTGAGGTTTCTCTCCATATTTTCTTTGGTCATGGTAAAAGCTTTGTGTGTGGAACTGCTTGCAACATCTAGTCCCCTGATCCCTTTTCACTGTTCATGTCCCGACTGATACCCGCTTCCCCTACGTCCTTGTTATTCCTCCTTTCAACAATCTGCTGAGTTCAGTAGATCACGGATTCTTTGAGACCTTGAGCCAAAGGCTAGAGCAAGAGTTGACCCAAAAGATACAGCCCAGCTGTCCTTGCTGCAGAGAGGTGGGAGAGCCTGTGTAAAGACATAGGCCAAACATGGGGTCAAAGCCTTGGAGCCCAGTTTCGATGGCTTTGTTCAAAGGAAGCACACGGGGCCGACCTCGAGGTGATATTGCTTTCCTGGCTTGGATGGGGGAAGGTTGTAGATGTTGACAATTGGCAGCTGCTGAGGGTCCTGCGTCCGAAATGAGAAGAGAGTCCGATGCCAGCGTCCATCCTTGATCTGTGTAGGGAGGAGGGACAGAGAAAAAGCTGTTTAACTGAGGAGTGAATCCTGCTGGAAAGGAATGTGTTTCACAGGTATAAGCTTGAAAAGCCCTACGTGAGACAAGGGGCCGCCCTTTGGGCTGAGCGGGTCTGGGGTGAGGCTTAGAAAGCATTTTGGGGAACCCTTTATCCAGGTTGAGTTGACGGAAACCGAATTTGGAATGGCCTCAGCAAACATAAACTCCTAATGCAGCGAACCCAAAATGCAGACACACAGATAACGACTCGGCGTAGCATCAGGCAAGAACCAAGACTGCTGCCTTCGGGTGGCAATTCCCCCTTCTGCCATTTAACTGCTGCTACATGTGACGTGTAACTTTGGATTTAATTTTTTGCTTTCTGTTTGAAGGTGATCTACTTAGCAGGAGCTGCTATAGCACCCTGGACTGGAGCATTGAAGTGGCAAACAGGTAAACTAGCCCCTTCTCCCCCTTTTTTGCGGGGAGAATTAGAAGCATAGGTATAACTTGAGCCTTGTTGTGTGCCCTGAGTGGGTTCAGCCTGGCATTTCTCTCCACCTCTACCCTCTTTCACAGCACCGTACCTTGCAATCATCAGCTGCCACTTCTGGCCTGAGCTGCCCATTTGCCTCAAACATCTGTCCATTCCAGGCCCTGAAGCGCACGGCTTTTTCTGAAGGTTTCTCGGATGAACCTTCCCGCCAGACAGAGGTATTCAGGCAGTGGATGGTGATGTGTTGCACCACCTCTGAGCTCAAGAGGCGGAGGAAGTTCATCTGGACTCTACCGATGTCAAAATCCAGCTGTGAAGGTCACAGAGATGTTAGGGAAAACCCCCTGCAGCGGGGCTGGAGGGAGCTAGCGGCAGGGTTAGTGCAAGATGTGAGAGCAACAGTGGTCTCTGTGCTCTGCTTAAGTCTGGAGGTGGCCACACATGAATGTCCAGAACTGGCTCTGGCGTGAGTATGGGCATAAGGGCCAGATGCCAAGTCAACCTAGAAAGTTTTCATGGGGACACAGCAGGTCCTTTATTTTTCAGGACAAACTGGCAGATCCTGAAGTAGGAGTAAAATAATGTAAACTTTGAATTCAATACACGCTTCTGCAAAGAAGCAAAGCAGCATGTTCTAGCTCATCTGCAGATGAACCCGCATATTGTTATTGGTATTTTTTGGTACAGGTGTTTCTTGAAGAAAAAATCCTGTGGCATTAACTTCACTGGAAACTTGTATATTTAAGCTGACCTCACTTTTACAAGTGGCAGAAAACAAAATGCGAACGTGACCTGAACATAAGTTAATTCAACAAAGCATTTGGGAGCAGCGTTGTTTGCAAAATTACTGGCCTCTGCTAAGGTTGAGAGTGATTTAAACATTGCTGGAAACGTACTGCTTTGTCTTGACAAGAGTCAACAACAGTCTTAGGTATATTTTTTAACTGCCTGAGAGCAGTCCTGAATGTTACAGCTACACTAGCTGCCTCGAGAAGAAACCAGCATGCTGTGTCATAGTGGTCACCGTCCAGTGTCCCAGGACAACACACCCCTGGGTAAATATTTTGTAACAGCAGTATGGGAAATGCTGTGCTGGGGTCAATCTGTGTGTACCTTGGAGACGGTGATGGGGCTGAGACACGTCTGCCCACCATTGGTGAAGTTACAGATGACCTGTATGGTGTCTGAGGCACAGCCAAGATTTGGGTCAATCCAGTAGGTACCTGAGGAAATGGAGGATTCGGGGATTAACAAGGACACTTAAACTCTTCTGTGAATGAGAAAAGGAAAGTTTTGATTTCTGCATTACTGGTCCCAGGAAAGGAGACCTGTTTGGGCCATGTGAAACAGGGAGGATGCAGCCTTTGCACACTCAGGGCTTCCTACCATCATTCATCTTCTGTTCACAGTTCATGAGGTCTCGACAGATGCGTGCAGGGTTTTCCTTGGTTCCCAGGGGTCTTTTGATGCTCTGAATGAGGTTGCTGAGGTAGTGTAGAGTCTTAAAGATCTCCCCTCCGTGGTCCAGCATGAGAAGGTCTGGATGTTGGTAATCCTGGAGAGAAAAGGAGGCAAAGTCAGGTGTGCCTTGAGGGGCACCAGGTGCTGTAACCACAAGGTTTTATGCTTTATCTGTGGGAAAACTCAGTGGGTTAAAGACAGGCTGGGCTTGCTGGGATCCAGTGAGCTACAGCCCTTGCACTGTCCTGAACGAGACATCTCTGAAGTGCTGGCAAAGTCATGATGGCATTATCATGAGGTCTGAAGTTTCAAAAACAAGTAACACAACAGAAATAGATCCTTTAACTGGATCTTTGCATGCATAAACCCCAGTTATTCCACGAGAACAGCAGACTGTCATGGTTTAACCCCAGCTGGCAACTAAGCGCCACGCAGCTGCTCGCTCTCCACCCCCACCCGCAGTGGGATGGGGGAGAGAATTGGAAGGGTAAAAGTAAGAAAACTCATGGATTGAGATAAGAACAGTTTAATAATTGAAATAAAATAATAACAATAACAAAAATGGTGAAAATGAAAACAACGAGAAGAGGAACAAAACTCAGGAAAAAACAAGTGATGCAATTGCTCACCACCGGCTGACCGACGCCCAGCCAGTTCCCAAACAGCGATCGCTGCCTCCCCCCGCCCCGGCCAGCTGCCCCCAGTTTATATACTGAGCATGACGTCATATGGTATGGAATAGCCCTTTGGCCAGTTTGGATAAACTATCTTGGCTGTGCCTGCTCCCAGTTTTTTGTGCACCTGGCAGAGCATGGGAAGTTGAAAAAGTCCTTGACTAGTGTAAGCACTACTTAGCAACAACTAAAACATCAGTGTGTTATCAACATTATTCTCCTACTCAATCCAAAACATAGCACTATGCCAGTTACTAGGAAACAAATTAACTCTATCCCAGCAGAAATCAGGACACAGGCAAAACAGGGCTTTGTGTATATAAACTTCAGGCACACAGAAAGAACAAGCAACGCTGTGACCGTTCCCAGCCTGCGGCTCCAGCAAAGACCAGTGAGGTCAAAAGTACCCTCATACCTCTGTCTTGAGTGCAGTGTTCGAGTTGATTAGTGTCCGGAAAGCTGCCCCAAAGCTGTCTTGTTGCTAGTGTGGGGTGAAAAAGATGGTAACTGAGATTGTTAGAAGCTGAATGTGCCCTGATGCAAGCAAATGCTTCTCGGTCTAGGGCTGCGATTCAAGCATTGCTTTGCTAACACCACATCTCTTGCTGGACCTGAGTGTGTGTCTCCAGGGTCCCAGCAGCTCTTTCTGGATGTCCCACCAGCACCTTGGCTCTGCATGACTTATTATCATCATAAACAAACGTACAGAAAACAGCAACTTACAAATGAGGCTGGAATTCCTGGTGGTCCCTAGAAATCAAAGCAAAAAAGGGGCATCAGAGAAAAATATGGGCAGTCACTACTGCAAAGAATTAATAAATTCATATCCTTTTGAAATCCTCTTTCCCCTGGAGTCCCTCAATGCAGATGAGTGAGAGAGGCAACAATGCTGTCTCTATAAAATAATTGGAGATGGTTTGAAGTGGAAGAAACACTAGTCCATTCACACACACATTTTTGCATATGATGAATGGGGCTAAGCTGTAATTTCCAGTGAGCGAACAGTCCCTCTGGAGAGTATCACGGCAATAATTTTAGCTTGCTTCAATAATGTCTTTGAACTCTTTCCACATATACGTACCGGAGGGCCAGGGTGTCCTCGTGGGCCTGGAGGACCCTAAAGACAGAGTGGCATCAGTTAGTGAAATGTCTCCAGTTTGTATTTCCATTTCTCATGGTTGTCACCAGTGTGAATCTCTTCCCTGCTGAAATCCTCCAGATTTTTGACATTTTACAGCATCCTCCCCTCAAACCCTTCAGGAGTCAGGAGGTGGCCCCATTTCCTCCATCTCCCAACTCTGGGTGCATCTGTGTGCACCTGGTCCATTCCTACTGCATCCCTTGCTCCTAGCCCTTAGCTCCTTAACTATCATTAATGCCGTATCCCAAGGTACTTACCACATTCCCCGTCTGCACAATTACCCACCCTATGACTTTACATTTGCTAAAAGCAACTGTTTTATTTAAATACAAGCTATTAGTCAGAAAAAGTGATTTCAAATACTTACCCTTGGACCTTGCAGACCCTGCAGGAAAAAAAAAAGAAAAAAAGAAAGAAAGGAAAAAAAAAAAAAAAGGTGCTGTCAGAAGAAGGTCATTAATAAACCAAAACCTCCCCATACAGCCATGTGTTGTTCCCAAGGTCCTTGCGCAAGGGCTGGATGCTGCACTGGAAGGACAGTGAAAACAGGGACCCAACGCTGTCTGGCAATGGCAGAGAGGTTATTGCAGCAAAGGATGCTGATGGCCCTCACACCACCAGGCTCAGGTCCCCACCAGCACGCTGTCCTCTGCTGTACCCATGGAGCTGGAAAATGGTGAGCAAGAAGAAACAGAGGCAGCACCCTGGCTTGTTAGAAATGTGCACTGGGATTTTGGGTATCTGTGGGGCATTTGCTTATAAGAGGTCCCATTTGAAGAAGGCATGAAACAGCCTTCTGCACTAGCCACACAGCGGTGGTCGCTGGGCTCTGATGCCTGGACCGAGCTCCGGCATGCAGGAACAACCACTGGTCACTAAAGGAAGCAACCTGGAGAGCAGGGAGATCCACATCATGGGTAACAAGGAGGATGAACAACACATATCCAGTATACCCCACACATCCTCTGTATGGTAAGAACGCTAACGAGCTATGAGAAAGTGTAAAAGTCCATCAGAGCCCGCCCCCCCTGCAAGAAGGGGAGCAGAGGCGAGAAGGTGCCCTGGCACTGCTCCCCCAGCTGTGGGGGCTGCACCCAGGCAACGCTGCTACTCAGACAAGTCCTGTGCCCCTGGCAGGGACAGCCCATGGCTTTTTGAGCTGCCATTCACTGCAGTTTGTTCCTGGAGACACCACGATCATCCGTAAAATGTCAGCTTTTGCTGTGCAATTGGGTTAAGTAAATGGGAACTTTAACAGTAGAGGGGGCGTATATGTGCACACGTGGATGTCTGTGTACATATGTGCATGTGCACATGTATAGATGTGTATGTCTTGCCCTCGTGGGAGCCTGATGCCACCACACTGAGCCAGAGCCCAAGCAGGCGCAGCGGAGCGCAGCGCGACTCTTGGTTGCTCAAAGAGAGGGACCCTCCTAATGGCAGGATGCACCCAGGGGCGTGGACCAGCACTTACCATTTCTCCACGGCTGCCTTTGTCTCCCTTGGGCCCCTGTTAAAGCACACGAGGTGGCTGTCAGTGACAGTCAGTGAGCTGCACTGCCTGGATGTGTTACCACCCAGAAGCTCCTTGCAAGGACCCAAGCACATCTCTAAACAAATCAGCTCAGGTTGTCATATTGGCCCACCCATCCCGAGGCAAAAAAATAGCAATTACTGGATGTTTTGGCAACGACCGAGTTCATCTCACTGGTTTTCATCTCTGCCAGTAGCAGCCTCTGTAGTGAACTCTAAGTAACTTCATGCTCATATTTTTACAAAGCACTGACCTGAACTTTAGTCTGTGTTCAGTGCGTTCGGAGTTTTGGGGCAGGCAGGGATTTTCAACACTTCCCAGAATCAAGCTGTTCCCAGTTTACATTTATCAGTTTTTTGGTTTTTTTTCTCACCCCCAGGCCAAGTTCTCTGGAAAATCTGGCAGCTTGCTTTTGAAAAACTGCAATAACATTCTTGTCTTCTAGTCTGAGCCAATCTATCAAAAAACTTGCACTTAGGTAGAGTTGCTCCTCACTTTTAAGCTAATAATCTCCCTGGAACTATATATGCAGCCAGGGACTAAACCTGCACTTCTCTCAAGCTGCTCATCTTAAAGACCATTTTGTTTCCCTCGTTACAGCAGGACTTGGCATTTACTTATGCTTGGCATCAAGCATCTCGGATCTCAAACACTATGCTCTTCTAAAAAAATACAGGCAGAAAAAGAAGCGGATACTTACTGGGCTTCCCGTAGGACCCTGAATGCCAAGTGGACCAATAATTCCTTCTTTTCCCTAGAAAAGAAAAGATATGCATGACCCCATCACATGGGAGCTGACAGTTGCTTTTACCATGGCAGACTCAGTGAAGACACTGAATCTCTTTGCTGCTTTTCAGCAACATGATCGTGGTATTTGCTGTAGCTGAAATAAAAAACTGTTTCAAAATGCAAGTCCAAAGACAGAAGCCCTCACAGTATGGTTGTCATGACCCATGTAAAACCTCAGAAATTCCAGAAATAGAAAGATTTCAGTGTAGCTGGAGTGGTCTGTGCAGTGGTCATAGCAGAATGACTGTCTCCACAGCAGGAGAGACCTGTGCACATGTGGTTACCTACAGATGTGTTTGGGTGGCTCAGAGGTGGTACCATGGCCATGGCTTGTCTGCCAGGCATGTGGTGAACGGTGCACCGTGCTCCTTACAGCACCCTGTAGCCTCACAGAAATAGAGGATGGAGGAAGGAAGAAAATCCTCCCAAACCAAACAAACTGAAAAACCACTCACCATGAGACCAGGTGGCCCACGTGGTCCCTGAATGCCTTTGAAACCAAGGTCTCCTGGCGGGCCCTGCAAGCAAAAATGAGACACCAGGTGCTCTTAATAAACATACTCCATGTTTATTCCCTTGCTTACAGCTCTGCTGCAAGGACAGAGGTGCAGCCTCTTGTGTGGGAAGATCCTTCCTGAATGGGAAGGTCCAATTTAAAAAAAATTCTTTTCCCACTCCTGTTTTGCAAGCCCTTTACTTTCTACAGAAAAAAACCCCTGGTCTCCCTTCACCAGGAAAATTAAATTCTGATAAAATGAGTCTAAATTTCGAATCAAAGCTCTCAATATTAGGAACGCATAGCAGTGTCTCAGGTACAGACTGATGACTGACGCTGGAAATACAAGTGTCTGAAGGATGTTCAGGTGGGGAAAACATCTCCGGGGTCTACAGGACAGCCCTTTTCCCTCTACCATCTACCCATTTTAACAGGAATAAGCTCCAACAAAGCATATGTAAACACACACTCATTTAGCAAATGAAGAAGCATAAACTAAAGAAAGTTGGAATCATGATTCAGTATCAGTAGTTTCTGCAGAGCTGCTAATGAAGTCTTTGCAACATAGTCTGTCCCCAGTAAAGAGAGACTAGAAAGCCAACTGGTCACAAGACAGCCTCTTACCTTTGGCCCAAACATGCCCGCAATCCCTGGAAATCCTGCCTCGCCAAAGTCTCCCTGTAAATAGCAGCCAAGACAAATACAAGAACAAAGAACAACAGTGAGTTCACATTGAACGGCTGGTCACTCAAAGAGGCGCCAAGAGTCCATCAGCTTCAGAGAAAGAGAAATCCATAAGTAATCTTCAGTCTAAGCAGAACTGATGAGAAAGTATGAGAGAAATCTGAAGGAGGAATTACACAAACATCAGGCTAGAAGCAACTCCAGAAGATCTCATAGACATGTAGATTACTTAGATCTCATAGACCCCCAACATGGGAGGCACACCTACACTATTTCTAGCAGATACTTTTGTAGCTTGGACCACAGTCAGCAGAAGCAGGATGGAGAGCATCTACTCTGAGGTTGAACTTGGAAGTCATGCTGCAAAAAAACAGCCTCAAAGTCCTTTAAAACAAGCTCTTCTTTTAGTTCTAATACCAACTGGACTGACCTACTAAAGGATAATTTCAAACTATGCTCATTCAAGATGTCAAAAAAGTGCATGTTCCTGTGACATAACCTCCCACTCAAACCCAGGAAAACCGTGCATAACCCCTAATTCTCTTCCTATTCAACCCTGCAGGGATTTTTTCTCAATTTCTTAAGAAAAATAATAATAAAATATTTGGAAGGCCGTCAAGCTCAGATTAGCACATAGCATGCACTCTGAGAATAAAAAAACTGCACCGGGTAGCATGTCCTTATATAAACACCCTCATTTCACCATGTTTGAGATGTATGTCCTTTGATATTTCTGGGTTTCTCGGATGTCAAAATGTGAAATGATTCAATGTTAAAAAAAATGGGCCAGAAACATACACCAGATGATTCATCTACAGTCTTAGGAACATCAGAGATGGAAAAGGCTTGTTTGGACTCTCGGCAGGACTATGTGACCCATGCTGGATTGTACTTTATGGGATGTTTTACAATGTCTTGTGCAGCCCAGTTGTAAATGACTCAAGTGATGGGGTTTCCACCACCTCTATTACAAGGCTATTCCAGAGTCAGTCTTAGAGATCTCACTGTCAGGAAGTTTTTCCTGCCATGACAGTGAGAAACTGCTTGGCAAGAAAGGGCTCAGTTGGACTCGGTGGAGTGTAAGAAACTTTCCAAGGATACAGATTGATTTCACTGCCCATTTATGGATCCTGGAAAGGAAAACTACTACCAATGGAGGACTAAGGTCTCTCCTGTGTTAGGAGAACCAACCAAGCCCTCTTTCTAGAGGAATTTTTGGCAAAAGTAAGTGGGAAGTCAGAAGGGTTTAAATGCCATGGAGTCATCTCAGCTAAGGGAACCTGATCACTAGTTATGCGGCAAAGTAGGAAACAGCAACACTGGGCAAATGAACCTGCCACTTGTGGACACAAGAGGCAAAATGTTATTGTTATTATGTTGTTGGCTACTATCTTTCAGCTTGAATACTGCCATCACAGGCTTTTATATAAAATATACAAACAAGTATATTTTAATTGAGGTAGTTGGGGTTCATCTTGTCCCTTGTTTTGTATTAGTCCTAATGTCTCTTTTCCTCATGTTAGTTTTACATCTGTGGCCTAACTAGACTCTCTGATGGTGGTCCCAATCCAAATAACTTAAGTATTCTCAATATAGCCTTAGGCTGATAAAGCATGACACATCAGTGCTAAACTGGGCAATCCCATCAGCACAATAGATGAAAGCAGTGAGGATTAGGAGCCTGCCTTGGAGACAGGTGTGGGAATTTAACTTCTGCTTTGACTGAGGGCTCTTGGTGTTTCTCCCACGGTGTGCTCTGAACTCGCAGCTCCACTGCCCTCAAAATTGCACCGATGATGCCTGCTCCTGCACCTCCTGCATGTCCCAGAGGAGCGACAGACCCTGATTTGCACCTTTTGGATGGCTTGGAGTGTATAGTTCACATCCCCCACTCAACACCTCCCACAGGCTCCATGCACCGCTCTCATAACAGCTCCCATCAAAGACGCTGCTGAGTGGTGTTTGAGATGGCTCTGCAGCCTGCCTGCCAGCACACACCATGGCCTTATAACCACAGGCACGAGGATGACGTGAACAGTCACACTGTCTTGGGGAACGCAGGCATGGATTAGCCATCTCTGTGCGCAAGTGAGCAGTGAAGAGCAGGGAAGTGTGCATGCTGGAGAGAGCTGTGCCAACGCTTCTGCACTCATGCAGAAGCTGATTATGGGTTCCCTGTAAAAGACCCTCCCAGGGTTCACCCTGCTATCCCAGCCTGCAGATCTGAACCCTCTCCTGCAGGAGACAGCTTGGAGTCAGGTCCGATCATCTCCTTTGATTACTAACCGGCTGTCCTTTGGGTCCTGGATCACCGGGGCTCCCTGGAAGGCCCGTTCCTCCTGATGATCCTCGCTTCCCTGTTTGGCCAGTCTGTCCAGGCAATCCTGTTTCACCCTAAAAATAACAGAATTCAAGTAATTCCAAAGGGCAGGAGCTAAATATAACAACACTCAGCCAAAATAGCCATAGATGGAAAGCTGGAAAAGAGTGGCTCATCGGGATAAGGAATGTGGTTTCATCAGGAGATGCCTCAGGTCTGCTGAGGCAGATTGTTGCAGGATGCACAGTGTGAGACCAGCGATGGGCATGGCTGCGTCCCCCTTCTGAGCTTCACGCACAGCAGGAGCTTCAGCAGAGCTTTTCTGCCTGCACTGGGGTTAAGGACAACAAGGGGGTGAAATGTCTTCTGTTTTGCACTTCCGTATGTTGTCTGTCCTGCCCTGCAGTTTCTCATAAATTCCTCCCCCCCAGCAGGCTGGTAATTGATGATTAATCTATCTAAAATGTTGAAGACATGCCAAGACTTCAGCTGGAGGACTTCAGTCCAGAGGCTGCAAAGCCAACATTTTCCCCTGCACCAACTGCGCAACTTAAGGACAAGAGAGTGGCTTCTGAGACCCAGCACCACACCTTGCTCCCCAGTCTCTTCCCCTTGCCAAGTGCCAGGAGCAGAACAAGCCCCAGCTACTCGATCTGGGGAAGACTGGGAGAGAGGAGCAAAGGCAGTGAGAGCCTAGGATGGTTGAGCAGCTGGAAAAGGGGCAAGAAATTTCCCTGGAGCCAGGGTAGGAGTCTGTCATAATGACACAAGGGTCTTTCAGTCATTTCTGGTAACAGACTGTTATTCTACCCAAGGCAGCTGGAGGGCAGCAAGTGACAGTTTGTGAAGTGTGATGGGAGGCATAATTTAAATCAGACCTGATAGCCTCCCCAAACCCAGCTGGAGTCTTCCTATTTACAAAGTCTTTCTACAAATAGCTGAATTGATGTTGGTCCAGTTTAGATCCTGTGGCCAGTCTGGACCAGGGCAAGGACCAGGAAGAAACCCCAAGGTCACTAAAGCAGCTTGACCCTGCTTCCACCCAGAGCGATATCTAAGCCCATACTGGTTCCAGCCATTCCAATCCAGTAAATATATGCTAAAAACCAAGTGGCACAAATTCCCCTTCAGCAGTTCAGGCCTCGCAGGGCAGCAGCTAGAGGACACAGGAATTTCCCATGCAGTTGTCCATCCTGGCCATCCTACAGGTAGGCTGTAACAGTTCCTTTGCAACTTCTCCAAGGCCAGCCAAGGCCATGTTTTTTTTAGCCAGGTTTCTAATGAAAGAAGGCTAAAGTGTTCATAGCATGGGTATGTGTATCTGTAGGCTCCTGAGCTCAGTGAACTTTGACAAAGGAGGAAAGGTCTCTGGGACATTCAGATGCTGTGAATGTCACGAAAATGGATGAATGGATGAATGGATGGATGGATGGATGAGGATAAAGATCTACTGAGCCTCTAGCTAAGTGAAAGATGAAAGAACTCAAGGAGTTGAGACTTTATTAGACCTTGGAGAATCCAAGCTCTAGAGATAACAAGCTCACAGGCTGGATTGCTCGTAGCAGTATCTTAGGGAGTTAGAAACTCACCTTGAATCCTGGTGGTCCCTGTGCCCCAGGGAGTCCTGGTATGCCAGGGTTCCCTCTTTTGCCTGACATCCCTGTCGCACCTTCTTCCCCATCATCACCCTGCTCTCCCTAGAAAAGAAGCCCAGAACGGGTTATAAAACAAGACACTATTTCAACAATGCCCTCTTTCCACCTCTGCACAGCTTCTCAGGGAACAGGAGAGTGGTGTGATTCTGCCCTCAGCAAGCACTGTGCATCTGGGCATGGGTAGATTTGCAGAGATGTATATAGAAGTCTGTGCATGCAAGTATCTGTCTGGCTAGAAACATCGGTTTATTTACAGACGTGGCCATGCAAAGGCAGCTGCTGCCTCTATGTGCATGTGAGCTATGAAGAGGAGCATATGATCCACTCTGGGTGCATGTAAATTGGAATATCTATAGCTGGACTACATCCATTTCTCTTGTGCTACCTTTCAGTTTTCCAGCTCCTAAGTTACGTTTGCTATTGCTGCTATAAGGTTACAATTGCAAACTCACCAGCATCCCAGGCACACCATCCTTCCCAGGCACTCCATCCACTCCAGGGGCACCCTCTTGACCCTGCCTTCCCACCACTCCTCGAGGACCTGGTAGCCCAAGGATGCCCTAAAATCACAAAGGTGTTAGTGATGGAGTTCCCGGACAGCATTTGCTGGGGCAGAAAATTGAATTTTCACCTACCGGTGAGCCTCTGCTCCCTGCATTGCCCCGTGCTCCTTGTTTTCCTTTTTGACCCTGAAAGTAAAAAAAGACACACATCTAAAATTGCAGCATTTCTAGCACAACTCCACTTGGGAGCCTGACTTCAGGGTGTGCTTTTGGATAATGGTTGGAAAGAGTTTTATAAAAAGGAGATTTATAAAGTCAGTTGCTCCAACACTGGGGAATGAACCGCTATTTGGTTTTATTACAAGTGATTCTTCGTATGACTTGAGAGTTCTAGGGCAGGAATGAATAGCTAGAAGGCAAGGACATACATTTTTCCTAATACAGAGCAGATGAGGACAAATAAAGCAGGATGAACTCGAGGGAGGACTCAGTGCACTGGCAAACATTAGAACAAGATGCTTAAAACCTGCGTCCTCTGTCAGTTCATTGACAGCACAGAGCTGAACCAAGGACCCAGCAAGTCTTCTGCAGGGCGTTCAGTAAGAGTTTTTCTCTGCGAGGTAGCTCGCTCTATTTTGAAAAGTTAATGGAAATGAAAAGGGTATCTTGTGTCTAAAATTTGCAATGCTGCTTTGTGAATAAAGACATAAAAGAAATACTCCTGAGGTTTATTAGCTGTAAAAAGGATTAATTTCTGCAGAATGAATGGAAAACTCAGCCTCATCACCTTCACTAGGGGTCTCTTAGTGAGGTCATGTACTAAAGCACTTTTAAATTGAAGTACTGCATTTTCTGTGCATTGTTTCTCCATCTGCAGAGGACCAGGCAGGCCAGCTAGAAAAAAATGCTCCCGGGGATGCTTTCTCTGCTATTCATTAGATCCAAAGGCAGTCCCAGATTGTCCATCGATGGGTAGAGTTTATTTGTCTCATCGCCTGGTACACTTTTTTGCCAAGAACACCTACTGTAGGTTAAACTATCTTCTGGCATTACCCCAGCAGGGTCAGATTAAAAATCCTGACATCTGCCAAAAGGGAGCAGGAATTTGCTGAGTATTGAGGTCGCATACTTATGTTTTAGCAAATAAAGTCCCTGATCTGTGAGAATAATTAGCGAGCTGTCATTACAGCCAGATGTGGAGGTAGGAGTAGGTATGAGGTACCCCAAAGAACCTTGAAGGACCCATGTGTGCTGTGTTTTCTTGCTCAATAAGGGCAAGAAGTTAGACGGACTCTTCCAAGAAACATAACTGCACAGATGAATGGACTCCAAATCTGGAACGTTTCAAGCCAGAAAAGTCTACGGTTCAAGTGAAAGAGAGAGACACTTGCCTGGCTCAGATCTTCTTAGGGACAGACAAACCGGCTGTGGCTGGAGGCACCACAAACAGGGGTATGGGAAAGAGACATAACCCATAGCAATGACTAAAGACCTGCCCAAGATTCACCCATCATGCTGGAGCTGTAATTGTCTTGATCTTCTCCAGCTCCATAAAGCCAACAAACTAGTGGGCTTGGACACTCAACTACATGTTTACAGCCCTCCCACTAGGTTCTCACAGTCTTTCAAGGTATAGACCATAGGCCAAATCACACATGCTGGGGAAAAACATGAGACTCCTCTTAATTAGACATTTTCTTCAAACTTGGGACACTATAAATCCACCCTGCTGAAACCTACCACATCACCTTTGGATCCCTTTGCTCCTGGCTGGCCTGGTGGTCCAGGATCCCCCTGCAAAACACAAGCAAGAAAAATCTGCTTGAAATTCTCTTCTGGCAGTATCTTGCATGAAGTACAAAACCCAGCATTTTTTGTGCCCTAACAACGCTGACCGTATGGAAACAATTCAGGGGAACAGCCTGTGCTCAGACAGGCCTCCTGGGGAAAAAGGAGCAAGGAACGGTCTCCAGAGAGCATTTAACAGGGTGTCAATTGGAGAAGAAGCAACGCTACCCTCACTTGGGTGGTGTTTGTATTCACGGAAATCATTCACTAAATTCCAGATGGCGCCTGGAAAACAGTGCTAAGAAGTGGGCAGGAAGGAGCCTGTTTTGAGAAAGGTACTGCAGAAGCTATGTGCAGAATGAGTAGTTTATACAGTGACTACATCTTTAGTGTTGGTACTACTTCCCTTCTGCATGCTGCAGCCCTTTCCTTGGTTTTGCCTGGATGTCAGATATTAGAGAGCTACCTATGGAGGAGTAAAGCAGAGAGGCTATTTCACTACTCTTTTACTGGTCTTTTCCCCATCATACAAGTCTCCATCTTTTCTTCTGGCCATCTGGGATTTTTTGGTGTGTATTTGTGTCAGGGGCAATTTCTGGACTAATATCAAGAAAAGGACACACCTGCAGAGCTTTCCTACTTCAGCTTGTTTCTGAGCCACGTGTTTCTAATGGCTCTTTACTAAAGACAACCCAAAGCTCCTGCCTCCATCTGAAACACTGACATCTGAAGGGTTACTACATCCACATACGTAAGCTACATACATGCAGCAGCTCTACCCATTTCTAGGTCTTATGACAGAGCACTAAGATTTTACCCCAAAATAGAATCTGTTGTTCTTCCCAGCAGCCCTACAAAGAATGGGAATTGATTCAACTTTATTTCCCAATACAAATTACATTTAATGTGCTGCTGCACTCACAGTTGCAAGTCACATACACAAATTAGAAGCTGCTGTATATAGCAAGGGAATAAAAAGCCCTTCCCTTAAATTTGCATTTAATTTAGTCTTTCATAAATGCACTGGTTTGAGAGGAAACACCAGGCAGGCAGAATAATATGGTCTTGCCTCACACTGGTCCAGCTCTCACCAGCAGCACGCCAAATGTATAATTTCCAAGCAGACCCTTCCACTGTCATTGTCATCTCCCACTGCCCATCTCTTCAGACTTCTAGTCCCTCTTGGATCATTCAGAGAAGACAGTTTTAGAGACAGGCTTCTGGGACTGCCCCCTGTTCTGTCACCCATTTATTAGTCTCAATATGTGACTCAAAATGCCCATTCTATAGGCCTGGCTTATGGAAATGCACACGTTGCATTTCACAGCTCACCACACATTCCTTACTGCAGCTCTTCCTACCTTCCTTCCTTTTTGCATCTGTTTTTCACATGCATGTGACATTGGGTAGCTTACAATAAAGCAGCATCTCTTACAGGTAAACCTTGCTGTCCAGGTTTTCCTCTTTCTCCATCAAGCCCTTCTTGACCCTTAAATAAAAAACAGAGAGGGAACACATGTTTGTACTTGGGTACTTTTGAGGCAACGGGAAACAAAAATGGATGTAACATGCTGTATGGGGCAGGAGAAGATATAAATATCTGCATTCTGCTAATACAGAAATGTTGAAGCTTGCGAGTAGTGTACATGCTCCCATGGATATGCATTGGAAAGAAATAGCTAAGAGGAACTGCTAATTGCCATCTAAGAAGTAAGGAAGGCTTTCTAATGCATCCCTAAATACACACAGCACTAATGTAAGTGAACAGTTGGAGACTGCTGGGCTACGAAATGTGGCGGCAGCATCACTGCTACCCTGGTGAAATTAAACTCTTCTGTATGTTACTGTAATGGGTCATTCCGACAAGCTGCTTTTGGATGGAGGTAAGACTTAGTCCATAGAGCCTTTGCAGATCAACACCAATCAGCTGGAGATGTCCTGCAAAGAGGGCATCAGGAGCACAGGGGAACAATTCATAACCCTGGTCTTGTTTTTGAGAGAAATCCCGGTTCGGAACTGAAAAGATTTTGGAAGCTTCCAAACCTCCAAATTAACAGATACCTTCCCATGAAAGAGTCTACAGCTATGGGCACATCAGTCTTGAATTTTGTCCAGCATTGACATGACCTCTCTTGTACTCATCTTCCCCAGGGTATTTCCTTGATAATCACAAATACCTCTGATGAGATGGTCCTGCTCATTCTTTCAGTCTAGTATGCTCAGGCAGGTGCATGACATTTGTGAGATGCTGACCTGCAGGACCTACATTTGCCTTCAGCAAAATTTTTACCACTTCAGGTAAAGATATCTAATCACTCCTTGTTTGAAACACAGCCATGTGCAGCAGTTGACGAGGGACAACAGTGGGTTATGAATTGTGACTACTGGGCAAAGGGTAGACCTCTGTGGGCTGATGCAGATTAGAAGCACTTCCCCAAGACAAACATTTCAGAATCATGTATTTGGAATAAGACTCACAGGATAACCAGGGTCTCCAGGCTCCCCTCTATCACCTCTGTCACCAACGGGGCCCTACAACAACACAACAAAGACTTAAGGTGGATGTAAACAATCTGTCACCTACAATATCTCAATGGCTTGTGCGTGTTCTACAATTAAGGAAGTAACCCGACTAATCCACCTGCAAAAATCAGGCCAGGATTGATTAGAGAAGGGATTTAACATCTTACTCTGTCTCCAGGTGGTCCCTGTGGGCCTTCTACTTTCCCATCATCACCTTGTTCTCCCTGTGAATAAAAATGCTAGTATTAATATAGACAGCAGATTATATGGCAGATGCTTCTGTACAGACCCGGTCCAGTCATGCCATATCATGGCCTCCTAAGTCAAAGCCTCTGTTGAATTTACTAACTTTTTATCCAAAGAAAGTCTAAACAATTTATTTTTCATTTTTGTTTCACAACCTGGAGTACACTGACTCTTCACATTGCTTTCCTGGTTTCTTTGGTCATTGTTTCTGTCTGGTCTAACCATCCTCCTTAAGAAACCAGGTGCAGAGGGTTATTTTCAACAATTCCTAAAACTAAGCAAGAAGCATGTAATTGTGACAGTATGGGAAACAGTACTCTGCCTCTGAATTTTATTGCCGACAGTCAAACCAAACTCTTTAATCAAGCATTTCCCCACCCTCATTGAGTGCTGCCTGGGCTGTCATGGGAGCAAGGGTGGTCTGGATGGGCTCCCTAGCTGTGTGCCACCATTGTCTTACAACTGATCAGGTGAGAGGCTCAGGCCCTTACACACTCGCTGCGTGAGCAGCTCCACTCGTTGATGGGATGCTCCACAGCAAGAGCTCAGAGCTCATGGTTTGGCTGGTAGATAACATCACTGGGATTATTTATAACTGATGTCTCTCTAAAACATCCACAGAGAGATCCCTCTGTGGGGATCCCCCACAGACACTATCTTTTTTAATTCTGTTGTATAAGCCATTCAGGGTCATAGTGTCCTATTTTCTCTGTAGTCTAGCTCAGAGGCGGCTGTTTCTTTGCGCCCCATAGAAGATAGCTGCATTCCAGCTCCTCCAGTTTTTGGCTACTTCATATCACTGAGTCTCTGGCACTCTGGATCCTTAGGAGGGACGTCTCAGAGCTCCTTTGTTGTTGCAGCTACTGGATAGAGGAGGTCTCAGGGGGTTCTGGCACAGTGGAGCTGCTGTGTTTGGAGTGCTTGGGATGCTCCTAGAGCCTTGAACATCCAAATCTCCATAGCTATGCAGAGCCAAGTTTTCCACAGACTTCTGTAATTCTCAGTGGTTGCATCAGCCCTTTCTGGGGTATTTATGACTGCCTTTGACTTTCTCTCTGGGCTACTCTCATCTTCTGTTTGAGTTGCAGCAGCTGATAGTAAGGGTGCTTGGGCAGTTTCGCAGTGATCCTGCCTCTGGGAGAAGGCATTTGGGGTGCTTTGCTTGTATGTGATGTTTGGTAATGACACATCTGGAGCAGTGAATAACCCTCAGTGAAAAAACTCAGACAGTGGAGCCAATAGCTTCTTTTCTGCAGGAACTGGGTCATGGCTTGGAATCAGGGCTGTGCCCTCTCTGCTGAGAGAGACATGCTGACCCATACTGACTTCTCACTGGCTGAGCACCAGTATTGACTTAGTAGAATGAGGCTCAAGATTTGGCAAAATCTCTTGCAGTTAACCTCAACAGGTAGCAAAGAGCTCAGTATATCTCTCTCCATTACATGCTTGATGGCAGTGGCATTTTCTTTCTCTGCTGCTGAGACATGTTGGATGAATGTTGCCAGGATTTCATATATACTCACAAGTTATGGTTATACCACCCTTAAGAGATCATGTGCTGCGTGGGGAACTCCAGCATACTTGTCTGGGATTTTTGGGAGGTATCATGGTAGAAGAAATATATAGAGAGAAACTGTGCCAGGATGGTTTGAGAATATAGTACTTAGCAATATGGATGGAGAAATTTGTGTGGCAGGGTAGAGAGAAAGGAAAGTAATGCCTAACAGGCTCTGCCAACAGTTTCCGGAGCTACTGAACTTGCTGGTTGAATTCAGTGGCAGAATACCTGGCAACTGGTTTGCTTTCTAGCTGCTATCAAAGGAACGTAGGCTAGAAGGGAAACAAAGCCACCATTTCTCAAGTCTCAGGGGAAGAAAAAAAGAATCCCAGTATACGTGTTACTGTGCAGAAGTTCTGACACCGATTGCTTCTTCCCAAAAAGGTTGTGAACACCTTGCCATTTGGGAGCTGAGATGAGCATGATGAACTCAAAAAAACCTCGTAATTCTGGGGACCCTTTAAGAGCATCAAGACTCACAGACTTTCTCTCCAAAGCTGAGTTGTGCCTTTGGGTGTCCTTGAGTCTAATTCCCAACTTGTCTCTTGTCTTCTGACTGAGAAAATCCTGCAGCCTGGTCAGCTCTAGGACTGCGAGACTACACTCCTCCAGGACTTCCTGATGCCTCAGCTGCTCAAGGGGGAGATGAAAGGTCTGCGCTAATTCTTCGGAAAGTTGCAGTGAAAAAAAGTTAGAGTAAAGGGCAGCAAAGTAAACATGTTGGGATACAAATGGAAAATGCATAGAGAAGGGGAGGCTTGTTGTTGTTGTTGGCTCCTGTCCCAAAGTGAGATACACCAGTTTGTAATTTTTAAAAGGATCCCATCTGGACTGCTTTAAGCAGCTGCCAAGTGCAGGCATCTGCTCTGAGCAAGGCCTCTTTGAGGAACTGTAAATGTATTAAATGCGGCAGAGTAGCTGGCTGGTACGGCACAAGGGAGCTGGATCCCACAATAATGCCTCTCACCAAGCTGCTTGCTTCTCTGGAAAAGGGAGGACCTTCCCCACCATTATATATCCTCCTTCTTCAGCACAGCTAAGTTTACAGTGTTGTTTAAAGCTCACAGAGCAGTCACGGTCCCATTTTCGTTTCCTCTTCATTTCTCAGATTCAGGCTTCCATTTTCATGTTCGCATGCGTGTGCGAGGTTACAGATGTCCGGAGGGAAGGAATGTGTCCTTAAGCTAGGATCCAGGCAACTCTTAGGAGATAAGAAGGAAGGATGGATAAGAAAACTTAAATGCAAGACTTTTGTGGAGCACTGGGATGCTGCAGGAAATGGTGCTGGAGGCTCAGCATGCAATGCTGTGCTCTTCTCATTAGCTGGAGCTGCTCCCCAGCAAGGTACCAGCAGACCTGCTGACCTTCCAGGAAGACACGAGTGAGATCTGGCTGTCAATGGTCATTAACAGACCTGACTGTTCTCAGCAGGATGCATTAGATGCTTTGGTGTCTTTGTCAGGCTTCAGCTTGGATACTTGCATGTAGAATTCATTTTATCACCAGTGTTGCTGTGCTCTGATGGCACAAGATGCACGTTATTTCTGAGGAGGTGCTCTTCTAGTGTCCATTTGCAGAAGAATATTTTGCTGGTGAAGGGGAGAGTGCTTCACTGAGCACTTCAGATTAATAATTTGGGGACCATTTACTACTGAAATGATGGGAGCTTTCAAGAGGATGGCAACTTTCAATGCTTTAAAATAAAACAGCAGCTATAATTTAAACAGACATACATATCTGCACATCTCTTACTCCTTCTCCTGTAAGGCCAATGGCTGATCTTGCTTTTGGTAGTTACGACTCACAACTTTTTTGCCAGGATGCTCAAGTTTCAACAGTGGGACTGTGAAAAGCCTTTGGCCAGGCTCTCAAATGATAATGTGCTTGGTTGTGAGCTCTCGCATTATTATCCTGGGCTGGTTGTGCTTGGTTAACACTTGCCACTTCGCGCATGGCAATGCAGGAGAATACACCTAAGGAGGAATGTTGCCAAAGTCTGGAAGAGCAAGAGGTGCAGCTTGGGAAGTGGATGGGGCAGCGTTAGAAAGGCTGGGGGTGGAGAGGAAATTCAGCAAGGCAGTGATGGAGATGCAGAGCAGCAGAAACATCACCAGCTCTTCCTCCACGGATGTGTTTCAGCAGCAGGAAATGAGAGAAAAAGCAGCACGACCATTGTTCATCCCCAAAGCAAAAATTTCCAAGGCATGTGAATATCTTAGTGGAACACAACAGTTCACCTTGCCCCACTGACTTCCAGCCACCAGCACAGAGATTCACTGCTGCACAAATAGTCTCCAGGCAGAGCACGGAGAGCAGCGTGAACAGGGTGTCCTGACACCCAGGAGCGTGAGCTGAAAAGACACAATCAAAGCCCCAGTAAACACAAGCCCATGGAATCTCTGTCCCACAAACTCCTCTTATAAGCAATGAAGGTCTTGCTTGCACATGTACAGCTGCAATCACACCTGTGTGCAGAGGGAAAGCCGAAAGCTCTCTCGGTGATGGGGAGTGGAAAATGAGCAAAAAGAGTTCACGCATCTTTCCTCTTCATGGGGACCCCACGAATGCCCAGCCGCAATTACCATCACTTCCCTTCCCACACTGAGGAGGGAGCATCGCTGCTGCTACTGAAGGCACATGAGGGGCTCCAGCGGCACTGCGAGTACAGCCAACACCAGCTGGGCCATCCTCGGAGCGTGGAGCAGCCAGCTCTGCCGGCAGGAAACCATTAAAGTGTGATTCACTTCTCCAGCCTGAACTGGTTATGGCCGTGCTGACTCAGCAGAAGTGGAAAAACACAAGGGGAAAGCTGCCTTCGAAAGAGGGCTCTGACTCAGGCCAGCTGCAGCAAGGGGGCTTGTCAAGGGGTGATGGGGACAAGCAAGGTGAGGGGGTAGCAGGCAATGAGGAAAATGGAGCAAGAGCAATGGAGAGGAGACCAGTTCTGCCTCGCTTACAACATGCTATTGGCTGATTTAAGCACAGGTGGGCAACTTGCTGAAGATCAGCTAGTTTGTGCAGCGTGTTATTCTGACCTGATCACAGAAAGCTACTAGTATGATTTCTTTTGGCTTGGGGATTGAGCAGAATTTCTGCAGATGCAGGAAATGTGTGTCCCCAGAACACATGCCGGCTGGCTCAGCCACCGGTGCAAGGGCACGTGGTGTCTGGAAAGCATGTGCTAGTGGCACGGGTGTCCCGGCGCTGATTTGCAGAAGTAAAGCTGCAGCAGGAGTTATGTAGGTGGCCATGCTGCAGAGGAAGCACCTCTGCTTCTGCTGCAGGTAGAGGAGGAGAGTGCAGATGCATGGGTGTTATGGCAGTGGGGCAATTGTCTCCACATCAGCTCAGCTTCCATGCCAATGGAAGATGAGATGGCTAAACTCTGTGAACTTACCTTTTCCCCCTTTGGCCCTGGTGGTCCAATGGGCCCTGGTGGTCCTGCATGTCCCTGTGGAGAGCAGACAGCATGTGAGGAGACAGGAAAGAGCTGTTTGACTGAAGGTCCTCCCTGGCTTTCTGCCAGACCTTGTGAGCCCTGTGTTGTGCATCCCAGCTTCCGAGGGACACATGGGTCATGGCAGAGATGAACCAAATGCATCTGGAGAAGTCATGATGGTGCAAATGGAAACTAGAGAAAGAACTAAACTGAACTCAAGATCAGAAATAAATCATAGTTTAAGAACGATTTTGCACCCTGGAATGGCAGTTTTGTTGCATTTGCAAACAGACAGAAGCTGGAGGATGAAAATAAAATCCTTACCTGGTAACCTTTTAAGCCAGGTTCCCCTTGAGCACCCATCCGTCCTGGAGCACCCTGGAGAGGTGAGCACAGAAAGCACCATAAGAGCAGCCCATGCGTATTACCCCACAAGAAGAGGATGCACTGGGCTACGCAAAGCAAAGCTCAGAACCACATGGGAGTGTGGCCAGCCATTTGCCTGGCCACCGGTGAGCTTTGCTGCAGCCATCTGAAATGCTCTTGCTTGGCTTTAACCTCTTACACATGGAGAGTGACGCTAGGAGTCCATTCTATGTCTTTGCCAGCCTGTAGCAATAGGTTCTCCACCTCATTCAGATTTGCTACCAGAAACGGCTGCATAGTGTGTGCTCTTCATCTGCCCTTCTGGACGTCTTTATATCCAAATTAGCTTTGCACTAGGAAGTCCACCAGTGAGACCATTCTCATGCATGACCTAATCTTAAACTGTTGGGAGGAAACATTTCAGTGTGGGTTCTGAGGCCAAGAAAGGAGTTTTCTGGGTTGTGATAAGGGCACAGAAAGAGCTGTTTATTGCATCTTTAGCAGACTGAACAAAAGGGTTTAAATTAGATCATCAGATTAAAGTGGATTGCGAACTTTCCATATAATCCCATTTAGCGTGGAAGAAAGCCCTTCCCACAAGAGAGACGTGTTCAGTCCGATAGACTGCTGCTCAGATATTGCTTTGTTTCCTTGTGAAATAATCCATGGAGGCTTTGCCAAAGAATATGAAGGGAGGATATATGGGGAGGCCATAATTTTTAGTGCAGGAAAACACCAGCAGTGGAACCGTTACTCCATCACTCATTTGCTACTGTTCTGAAACATCACCGCGATTCCTGGTTCATAACTAACTCCTGCTTTTTCACTAAGGTTTACCAAATATAGTGCAACAAGTTTCCTTACCAGCCTGCAATGCATGAGGAGGTACTTATCACTTACTGCTGCTGTCCCAATGTATTTGTCTCATTAACTTTCTTTCCTCTCTGCCATACTATTGTTCTCTCTGAAAGTCTCACCTTCAGTCCCCAACTCAAATCCTTTCCCATGCTATATTTCTTCTTGCTGCAAGTGTTTTAGATAAGTAGATCAAGAGTGGGTGTAGAAACAGGGCAGAAGTCCAAGGCAGAGTTTCTTATAACAACACAATTTGACTTGGAAGCAGCTCATGCCATGAGTGTATAGTCTCAAAGGGAAAGATCTTAGCCAAAAATAGCTTATCAGCTCACTCCCTTTTCAAGAAAAATCCCCAATATTTCAGCCCATCTGGGGAGTTGTGAAGAACTGCCATGATGCAACGTGAACTGGGTTCACGGGGCACCAACACAACCACCACTATGGAGTCTCTCCTGTGCTGCTCAGAGCAAGTGTTAAGCTGTTTTGGTCAATTAAAACCATCTAACATAATTTCATTTTCTGTGCTCTGAAGCCTCTGTTGGGCTCTCTGCTTCATTCAGGCCTGTGCCCACCACTGCTAGTCACATTTCTGCGTGTTATGTTCAACCGTTTGCAGAGCTCTTCTCACCATAGGTCCCAGGGTACCTCGGGATCCTTTAGGGCCTTGGTTCCCCTTTGGCCCCTCCTTCCCTGGAGATCCTGTCTCGCCGAGCTGCCCCTGGTAGCCCTTGCTGCCCTGCAGAACAAAAGCACTAACATTAACGTAGGACAAAAACTGCTTCAAATAGATAAATATCAAAGATGAGCAAAGAAAGGGAGATCCAGAGGAGGAGACGTTATCAATGGGAGATGTTCCTACCTTCTGGCCAGGCTTGCCCTTTTCGCCCTGTTTTCCTGGTTTCCCTTCTGGTCCCTAGGAGAGCAAAAAATGCTGTTGGCATGGGAAAGCGAAGAAGCCCCATCCCAACCAGCCACTCCCAGGCCACTTCCCTGGTACACTCAACCCTGACAGCATCCTCACCCATCCTATCCCCACAGGAGCCAACAAGAAGGCTAGGAAGTCATGCAGGTAAGGCCTGAGTCACAGGTACTACAGCCAGAGTATGGCCGAGTTTGTTCTTGAGCTGCTCCAACACATGGAGGAGAAGGAAACCTCATTGCTTAAAGGTGGAGAGATCTCTGTGCCCAGATGACTATAGGGCAACATGGCTGAAAGGTGGTATTTTTCATGTTCAGATCACATGTCAAAGACAGGTGGGTGATGGAAAACTGCCATCTGATGTGTCCATCTGTCCTCAAGGATGCAAAAGAGGGATCTCAGAAGCGCTCCTTGAAGACAGCACCCACTGAACTGAAAAATGGTGCCTGCCCAGCCACTGGTACAGAAGGGGCTAAAATGTGGAAAACACATTTACCCTGGCCCCCCCAAAATGTTTCCTCTGGTCTGCAGACAGAGCTGCCATCTGTGCACCACTGCTTCACAGTGGTATTTTTCGCCATCAATGATGGCGCTGAATTGGATATTGATACTTTTTATATGGTTTTAGGATACTGGCAGTGGAACCATTACCTCAACAGCAATTCTCCTTGCAAAAACAGGCAGTGGTTTCATTTTCTATCTACCTGCCATACACAGCTTTCTGCTCACAATGCAAAAACCTTCCCTCTATTTGTATTATTATTACTGCAACACACAGCATACATACTGATCAGGCATCTAGAAATGGAGTGGGATGCAAAACTTCAGGTGGGAGCCACAGCAACGAGAGACAGAAATGCTGGCCTGTTTTGTGCACCTAGTGTGGGTGCCTCACAGGCAGCAGAACCTGCCGCCCCTCCTTGCACGCACACAGCAGAAATTAGCTGTGATGAGCAACCAAGTATAGCAGACTCCCTTAGGGAGCCCAGGGAGTTCATTTTTTCAGTGTTTGACCCCGTTGGCTGCAAGGCAGACAATATATTTTGGATTTGACAGAAAGAAGCAAAAGTATCACCGAAGAAAATAACTCATGCTTTTTGGCAATTGCGACAAACTTTTCAACAGCATCTACGCACCAGCACGGCATCTCTCCCTCTGCTCTCCCGCCTCCCAGCTAGGAAGGTATAATTTTCACCACCGTTGATGTTGCAGTCTCAGCTGAACAAAAGCAACTTATAAAGCTAGCCATATCGGAGGGTTTTCACTCTGATCTGAAACATGGGCCTCATAAGTGCCTGCTCTTAACACAAAGGAGCAATTCAGAAATTATTATAGCCCTAAAAAGTTGTGCCAGCTCTTCACTTCCCCAAAGAGAATAGCTTCATTTTACCTACGTCAAACATTTAACAGCCCACCTTGCGAACACTATTAGAGCTTCACAAAGGACAGGTCCCTGCTGAGGAGTACATGAGTCCTGTTTTGTTGTCTCTTCCATACTGCTCGAGTTTTTTGTTTGCTATTTTTTGCTGCCACTTTCCAAGAGATCGCTTTTGGAATTATTTTCCCACAGACGCTGAGCAGCCGCAATACATGATGAGTTGTGGGTGCCAAGCCTCCAGCGTCACTCACGTGATTTACACTTTTGACAGGAGCACAGAGAAATCCTCACCAATGAAAGCATCAGCCTGGGAAATGGCCATCCCCATCCAGCTCTGCAGCTAGCTCACCACTGGACCTGGTACTAGGTCCCTCAACTTCCGCACGTATCAGTCATGACGTGTGTAGTGAAGAAGCAATAACACAGCAATACTGTGACGCTTAGTGGCTTGAAAATTTGGAGAGTGAATAGTGGAGTCACTCACAAAAGTTGACTGTCAAAACAAGATGTGAATGAAAAAAGACATAACTGGGATTTCTAACTAGTTGCATAGTGTTTTTCTATCAGTCTCCCTGGACTGTGCACTAAGATCTTTTGGAAGCACGGGCAATAGATATTTCTTGCAAATGGGAGAAAGCCTGTTTTAAGCTAAATCTGTTCCTGGCCCCACTGATGGCCAAGCCCTTGATCTTCTCCAGCAGAGTAATTTCGCACACTCGGATGGGCTCCTGAATTGCTAAGCTGTAACAGCTCTTGAAAAAATACTTCCATGTTACGGTTCCATCTCCAGGATGAGGATGTGTTACACTGTCTGTAAAAAATGCAGACATCAGTGTATTGATGAGATGTACCCTTTTATCATTGTGCAGAGCAGATGGACCCCGTTCACGGGGGAGGTCACGAGGATCTCACAGCTACTTCAGAAGAGTTTGAAGTACAGCCTGGTTCCCCCCACCTGGATACATCTCCCATGGAAGCAATGACTGAACCTTGCTTCTACCCTGCACTAGGAAATGTCTTTGCTTTTTGAGAAGACAGGTTCAGGCCTTAAATCTTCCCATCTAAGAAACAAAATTTCCACATTGCTCCTAAAATCTGCCAGCATTCAAGTTCATGCTTATAACTGCAATCATGAAGTACAGATATAGGGTCATCTGGGAGAGGGAAAAAACCAAAATATAAACCCAACTTTGACAGTCCAAGCCCTGCTCACAAAAATAAACTTCATCCACAAAAGACTGTGCCATGTTCAAGCAAGGTCTCAACTTTCTCTGGGTTCCTTCAGCTTGTCTTTCCCTGTTGGTGGAGTCTGAACACAGATATGGGCTCCAATAAACTCCCTGTACCAGCTTTTTCCCTTATGATGTATTGGCCTCATTGAGCAGGGATATTCATCTACTCCAGAAGGCTCTCCTGGGTGCTTCAGCTAGGGTGCGGTTCATTCTTCATTGCTGGAGAAAAAAAAAATTGGCAGCATCTCCAGCTCTTGTCAGTGATAGTGAGAGCAGCTGTCATTCGCAGTAAACCACGGAGATCTTCCTTTGAGCCTCCCTCACTGTTGTTAGCTCTCATCTGCTGGTTAAAAGCTTTGCTGGTATAAATAAATGGGTCAAACTGTGCTGGCGACACCATCAGCAGAGACGTGGCTTGGATCTTGCAGCCTGAGTCACCTCCTTGAACGGAGTAAGCTCTATCAGCGAAGGATATTTCTGTGCTCTACCAGCATGCTTTCTAGGACTTTGGCCAGCAGAGCTCTGCTGGTGAGCGGGAAGCCTACTATATGCCTGATTTTCCTGGATGTGCTTTCTCCAACTGCGCAGGAACTTTGCCCAGATGAATTTAGAGGCAATTCAACACTTGTCTGGGGTTCCCAGATATGCAATATCTCTACTTGTGATGTTCCAGATGTGGTTGCTCTTTGTTGCAATCCCAGATGTTCACAGGGCACATCCGCAGTGGTTTACACAGTTCCCAGAAATCACTGCACTCTCATGTGCCACACATTACACAGGCAATAACAAGCCCAGCAACAACTTTGGTAGCCTTCACAAAAGGTCAGATCCTTTTTCTCTCCATTCTTCTGACTCATCTGCCCAGGGATGGAAAAATCAGGGCCAGAATGGGGGGGGGGGAAGGATAAAAATAAAATTCAGTGAGATTGTAACTTCATCCAGGGTCTCCAGAGTACATCAGGAATCCAGCATCTTTTGGTACCTCTTTCTGTTCCTCTCTCTTTAGCAGAGACAGCAATAAGGGGCAGAAAATGTACAAAAGCCTATACATAAGAATAATTAATTCCAAGTTCTTTTTGCTGGATTCAAATCAGTTGGGTTAGTGTGCCAAGGCACTAAACACTCGATGCTTTTATTCTTGGGGTTTGTACACATTTTGTTGTATGCCAATTTGTTTGGGTTACCAATTTGCTGAGAAAACAAATCTTTCCAAGCTTCTTCCATGAGCAGGATTATTTTTAAATGGTGATTTGTCTTTACTGCACTCTTCACTAGAGAAGCACATTGGTACCTCCAAAGGTGATGGTATTTGTGACCAGTGATAGTGGAAAGCAGCAGTTTTACAAAGTCATATGCCTTTAGGTATGCCAAAATACCCAAGGAAAGCAAAAAAATTATCATCTTAGGTCTAAAATTTCATTGCTAGCTTCAGTAAGGACCCAGTTTTATAACTTCTTTAGTATGGCCTTAGATATTCCCTTAAGTGAAAAGCTGGATGGTTTATTTTCTAATGCAAATTGATTAATTTTTAAGAAAAAAAAGAGGCTTTTAGCTGCTGATGGCCCTGGCAGCAAAGTCAGGTCTCTTGCACGGCACAGCAGTAATGTTTATTGGGAGCAAATAGATGAGCAGCCCGGCTTTAAATTCTCAAGACATCAACAGTTGAAATCTATGTTACAACAACATCATCCAGAAAAACAACATAAGGAAGTTGAATGAACTGCAGAGAGATATGCCCCAAATGGAGCCAAACAACGTTAAAATCCAGACCCAAACTTCCCCCACATTCAGTGATGCTCTGCTACATGTACTAGATCCGGGGAAGCAGTTACTGAGACGTGACTCACCGTCCTGGTTTGACTCAAGGGGAACTGTGGCTCTTGGCACTTCAGAGGATAGATACTGTTTCTGCTTTGCTTGCAGACTTACACCACGGCACAAGAGGGAAACTCTATGAGGGCACAGTACTGACAAGATAGCCTCCCAAAGCCTGTCTCAGGCAGGTTCAGGATTACTCTGGACTGTTGTGGAGCAGAAGCATATTTTCAAATTTTTTTTGGTGTAATTGAGTGAAGGTCTGAGGTCACTCCTCCCTACCAAAAATGAGGCAGGAAGAAAGAGAACCAGAATGCAGCTATGGAGTAAAGAAAAGAAAGTACCAATGGTGACGGGAAAAAAAATGGTGATAGTTTGAGGCACTGGATGTAGAAAGGGCAGAAAAGCTAAAGCAGCAATAAAGGTAGGAAGCATAAAACATAGGATGACCATGCCCATATTGTTCAGGGCCCAGCCAGCGAGCTCATTTAAAGGGAAATGAAAAAGTCCCATATCATTTCCTACTGCTCAGCAATGTCTCCATATGAGAAACTCTACTTAATAAACTT